TTTTCACGTTTAATATTATATCACTTTGTATATTAATGTTTAAAAGGTTCTAAGTTTTTAATAAGTTAAAAACCTACAATGGGTTTGGTTAATGGATGTGTTGCCAATAACAACACATGGGAAACAAATACATTAAAAAATTCAATCCAATTTAATTCATAAGACATAAAAACACGTAATAGAAAAGAAAAATAATTTAAATAATAATTATTGAAATTGGATTTATAAATAAAACTTTCATATTTAAGAATTTCTGATTGTCCGTTAAACCAAAAAGGAAAACAAAAGGTCTCATTCGATATACATTTTCATCTTTAACAGCATGTCACTATGCATCGTCCTACTTAAAAGTTCTTAGTCTTTGCTAGGTTAAATACTTAAAACGATTTTGACTGTTCTTTTAGTATTTTTGGCAACTCATTAAACCCAAAAGAAAAAAAAAAAGAAGAATAAGCAAGAACTATTTGTTCAAAGATGATACTTATCGATAAATTAACAGTTTAGTATCTTCCACAACTGGTTGAAAAAAAAAATCGACGGGTCTCATTCCATCATCATTTACATTTTTATCGTCATGTAACTCTATATCGTCCTACTTAAAGGTTCCATATTTTTTGTAGGTTAAAAATCTGCAATGGTTTTAGCTACTATTTTAGTATTTATAATAGCTTGTTGAACCAAAAAAATAAAAAGAACCAGTGGATCTCATTCCATCTTCATTTTTATCTTTAATAACATGTCACCCTGTATTATCTCATTTAAAAGGTTCCGATCCTTAAGTAGGTTAAAAAATTGTAATGATTTTGTCTGTTATGTAACTTTGTATCTTCCTGTTTGAAGGTTCTATGTTTTTTGGTAGGTTAAGAATCTGCAATAGTTTTAGCTTGTTTAATATTTATAACAGTCCGTTGAACTAAAAAAAAAAAAAAAGAACCGATGATCTCATTCCATCTTCATTTTTATCCTTAACATGTCACTTTGCGTTATCTTACTTAAAATATTTCGAGTCTTTGGTAGGTGAAAAAATTGTAATAGTTTTGTCTGTTATTTAAGTATTTTTGACAACCCGTTATTTTAGTATTTGAAGATCTTATCTATTCTTTTTTTTTTTCTATCAATTTTTTCTCTTGCTCCGGAAGTCTATGCATAATATATAAGTTCGAGGGTAACTGTTCTCTTCCAATAATTCTGATTTATTTTTGTTCAAAATATATAGACTTCTAAAGACGAAACTGAAAAAAAAAAAAAAAAAGGCACATACAAAACATGATAAAACAGCAGTAAGTAGTAAGAGTACCGCGCAACGATCATCCATTTTTTTTTTTTGCATTATTTTATGGGTGTTTAGGCTACTGTAACCATTTTAACCAAAGTGGTTTGTAGGGGACAAAGGTAAAAAAGAAAAAGAGAGAATACATAGTTTAATAATCATTGGGGAAGAAATAAATTATTTTATTTGGGAAAAGAAAAATCTAATCATATATCGTTTTATTAAAACAGATTTTTCAAAACCTCTGTTTGCGCAAATAGTTTTACTTTGTAGGATTGGGCATTCGTCTTCGTTAAACTTTTCAAAGCCGCAAAAAAATGCCATGGTAATCGTAAGTCTGAACTTTGTGTTGTGTTCCAATATCTGATGATCTCCATACTACAAAATTGCAAAAGATCGAATCAGAGCCTCATCATTAGATGGACAAAAAAAACCCCATCTGCTTCCTTTTTTTTTTTTTTTTTTACCAAAACAACCAAACGGATCATCATGTAATAAATCATGGAAGTCAACACATTCTCTTCCCTCAGGGACTGCAAATAAGGTACAAATATTAACTACATTTATGTCATTTCTATATGTATTTAGTCAGAATATTGAATAAACATCAGGTGATATAAATCATGAAAAAAAGAGAGAGATTCAATTTTAGCCCTCACTAAAATTTTGGAGAGGAAGGTGATGAATTAGGAGAGTCTGATTTTTTAGGGACTCCAATTAGCACGACCGTGAAATTCAGATTATAATCAAAAGGGACTCGAATGGTGGAAAAACCGCAACAACAACAACAACAAATTATAATCAAAATAATTTAAAATAAAACTAAAACATGAGAGATTTTAATTTCATATACCATGGCAGGAAAGGAGATCCTCTTGCCCATACAGGATCTTAGCCAAATTCACAGCCCTTCAGTATCTTGGCCCAGCTCTTCAAATTAAGTTTACCTTCAAGACCAAAAAGAAAAAAACAAAAACCATGTCGTCGCAGTAGAAGAGAAAAAAAAACTTCAAAAGTGGGGAGAAAAAAGTCAAAACTATTCTGCCGGGAAAAGAAAGAAACTGAGTATGTTTGTTTCGTTTTTTTAAGTGTGTGTTTTTAAGCGTTTTTTGTATTGAGAATGTAAAAAGATGTATTTGAAATGTAAAAAGGTATACTAAAATGTGACAATTATTATTATATTATTCTGGAAAAAATTATGAAAAAACGAAACAAACAGAACCGATATCCGGTAGTTTGACGGTGGGTTCCTGATCAAAACCCAAATCCTCATTAATCCCTAAGAAACGATTGATTATGGTCTTCAACAATCTCCCTAATAACAACGATGACTTTAGTTATCAAAAGATTGAGGGTTGAGATAAATAGCTAACGGGAAGCAAAATAAGTAAAGTACTGCATACCGATAAATGATAGTAAGTGAACAAATAGAGCACTAACGCTATGGTCAAACTTTGACGCCAAAAATGCAAAAAAATTAGTTCACCCCAATGTGATCGTGTGATCATTTAATCTATTCGATCCGAGGTCTATATTTCCAATCGAAAGCCCGTTCTTTTAAATCCAAAACCGTGAAACCGCGCTAATCCACACTGCATTAAATGGTTTGGATTGGTCCAGTTTCAGTCTATGTTTTGAAAACCGAATTGGAGAGTGAATCGGTTCACTGATTTGAATCGGTTCAACCGCTCTTAAAAATCAGATGACGTCATAATTGCGTAATAAATTTATTTATTATTTATAATAACATAATATATGAGATATAAAGAAATATGTTTGTGAATTACATATTATGTAAAACTTTTAGGCCATCCTACTACAAACCTAAACTATGGGTCATAAAAATAATCTTATAAACTTCAAATTAGTAACCCTACTCTACCCACTTCCCCTTACAGCCGCCACCCTCATCCCCCTCTTTCTTCTCTTCCCATTTCGATTTTCGCACTCATCTTCATCTTTCTAATTCTATCTTCTTCATCGTCTTCTTTTTTTTTTCCTTCTTCTTCTCTTATCCTTTGTCATACGAAATCTAAATCCCTTCAGCTTTCATCTCTTTTTTCTTCTTAATCCTTTACTGAATCATTTTTTTTTAATTAGAGTATAATGGATGGGGAAAAGAGAAAATTAACCTATATAAAAATTCCAATAACTTCAATGACATAAATATAAAAAGGAAATATATGAATGAAAGATGGTTTCAAATGAATTGATTGAGTGCGGATTGAAAAGGCACAGATCATGGAAGCTTCATGCCTTCATCTAGCAAAACTGTGTAACCCGGGTTCAGCCGAGTTCTTCCGGGTTCCGGTCAAACCGCGAGTTTGATCGAGTTTGACCGATTTTTTAGGCAAGCGAGTTTATTAGAAATTTGACCCAGTAACCTGTTCGATTCCGGATCAAACCGGTCCAACCGGTCGATCTGGTCCGGTTTTAACAACATAGGTTTCAGTTTTTTGTTTGTTTTTTTAGTTGGTTTTTTCATAATTAAATAATAATAACTGTCTCATCCCAGCATACCTTTTTAAATCTCCAATACATCTTTTTACATTTTCAATACAAAAAACATCTAAAAACACATACTAAATAAACGAAACAAACATACCCTTAATGATTTGGTTTAAGTTTTGAAATTTTCATACCTGTAACAGTTTGATTCCCGTTTACCCAAAGAACTAGACCACCCAAATGGTGAAACCCCCCCCCCCCTTTTTTTAAGAAAAAAAACTTCATTACGATTGCTGGAAATCAGCCAGTTCTGATTGATACAAACCGTCCAACAACGACTGACGGGAGAATACAATCATTAAACTAGTCACTAAACTAGTAACGGTGAAAACCCCTAGTTACAAGTATGTCTAATGAACTTTGATTTAGTTTACTTGATTATAGTTTCTTTCATCTCATAATTCAATTTAATAGATAACGATTTTGAGGTTTGCTAGTATCAAACCACATAACTTACTGGATGAAGACACTTTATATAGTTTTATCACTACTTTTAATATTTAGATCAATATTTTCTTTCGGTTAATGGATAAATGAATCAAAATGTAAATTATAAATTCCTTTCTGCGCTCTCAATTTTTAAATTATAACTTAGTAGATAGACTAACAATATATACATTCTAAGTGACAAATTCAAGGGCCAAAAGTACACGCAGTTGCACTATTATTATTATTATTTCTTGGGGGTGGTTTTTACCCAAACCAGACCCAACTTGACATTTTTCCTTTTTAATCATAAATAATATAATACTACCTCCATTTCTTTTCTCTGTCGCATTAAAATATATACATACATTAATGAAATACTGATTGAGACATTAATTTTAAGTATTATATTTTTCTTGTTCTTAATTAAAAGTATTGGAATTATATAAAAAAATAAATAATAGATAGTTATCATTAATATGTGTTATTAAAAATAAACATAGATAATAGCGAAATTGGAAAAATTGCATTTACAATTACATTGGAAATGAAGTGCGAGTTTACCCTAAAACAACGTATAAAAAGAATGAAAGTATACAGTATCTTACATCTTGCCACTTTCATAGTTTTGGTTCGGAGTCTTTTGGTAATTTGTGAACAATGCTAGACTTGAATTATCCCCACCCCGCTTAATCAAATTGCCTGAATTTGCATAATCCATACAATCTCCGTATTCAACTCCCGTCCCACTCTCCATTAACACAAACTAAAATATACATGTACCCATTAATCATTAATGACATCCCCGTTATTCTCTCTCCAAATTAATACCCCTAAAAATTTTCTTTATCTACTAAAAATCTTCCCTCAATTTCACTTCTCTCGCAGAAAAATAATTTTTTTTCTAAAAAAAAAAATGACAGAAGAAAAAGGAATTCACCTTGATGACAACAGCAATGGTGGTTGGCAAGAAGTTACTTACGGTAAGAAAAAGCAAAACAAGAAGAAGCCCGTCGAAAATCGGAGTAAAAGTACTATTGGTTCCCAACAAAATGGTAACATAATTAGTGATCGTGCTGATAACGTGTTTGCGAGTCTAGAGAAGAATTCTGAGCAGCGGCCGGGGAAAACTGGTGATAGAAAGGGTAGACAATCGAAAATGCGGCCCGGAAATGGTGATGATGACCATAGCAAGATTGGGAAGGATAAGGAGAATGGAACAACGGAAGGCAAAGAGAAGAAGAATAAGAAGAAGCCCAAAAAGGAGATGAAGAACACGAATATGACCGTCGAAGAAGCTGCCAAGAAGATTGATGCCAATGATCTTTCGAGCTTTCTTGCTGATAATTCGGTTAGTGTTTGGTATTTTATGAAGAAACACCTTTATTTTCTAGTACATTTTTAGATCTTGTCACTTTTATTTTTTAGCACACTTTGATTTGTGTATAATCATAATAGAATTATAATGGAAGATGTAATCTTAATTACCCTTGCTTTTTCCGAAGAGGCTGTCAATTTGGTGCAATTTAGAAAAAAAATTGTAATATTTGTTTTAATGGGAATTCTGTAGGCATCTAATGCATCATCTCCGGACATTCAACTGATGAGGTTCGCTGACTATTTCGGACGAGCATTTTCAGCGGTCAACGCCGCTCAATTCCCCTGGCTGAACATGCTCAAGGAGTCAACCCTTGACGAAGTTGCTGATGTGAGTAGACTTTATTTCTTTTTTCCCTTTAAATTTGCTAATTTTCCTTAAAAATTCCCAGTGTCATTTTGTGTGATTTTGTGTTGAGCAGATGCCGATTTGTCACGTTCCCCAATCCGTTTGTAAAATTTCAACTGAATGGATTAGTCAACGGTCTGATGAAGCTCTTGCGACTTTTGTGTTATGGGCATTGGACAGCATTCTTGGTGACTTGACGACGCTTAAAACAAGCTCTAAAGCCCAAAAGAAGGTTGTTAATCAAACTTCCTCATCAAATTCTCAGGTATAATGTAACCTCAAACTTGGTTGCTAGATTTTCAAGTTTAATTTAGAATACCAATTGTCAATCATCAATTTTTTAATCCACGTTTTCAGAAAATAAAAGATTAACGATACGCGTATCTACAAAGTTTACCTCTGGTGTAACCTAATATACATTTGGTTGTGTTGAAGGTTGCTATGTTTTTAGTCATATCGATGACATTGCGACAAAGACCTGAAGTGATGATTAATCTGTTGCCTGTTTTGAGGACGAACTCAAAGTATCATGGTCCGAATAAACTCCCTATTTTTACATGGAAAATAATTCAGGTAACTCATAGTTTTTTTTTTTTTATTATTTATTTAGTGAAATTCTATCAGGAGATGATAATTAAAATGTTAATTAAAAAATGACTTATTCGATCAGGCCTCCCATGGAGATCTGTCAATAGGGATGTACTTATGGGCACATTTTGTGTTGCCTTACTTGGGAGGCAAATCTAATTCAAACACGCAAATTCGGGAACTGGTTCTGCAATTGGTCGAAAGGTTCCAAATGGCCCAATTCTATTTTTCTTTTTGTGGTTTTACTCTATTGTGACATTTTCATTCTGACGTTTTTGTTTTCGCTTTTGCTGGCAGAATTCTTTCCAGGCCAAATGCCAAGAAAATATTGGTAAATGGAGCTGTGAGGAAAGGAGAACGTTTGGTACCACCTTCCGCCCTGGACTTGTTGCTACACGTTACATTTCCAACTTCTTCAACCAAAATCAAGGTTAATCCTATTAGATTTCTTCACCTAACTATTTTTACTAATCATCCTAGTTGTCCATTTATTTAGTGTCTAAATGATGAATTAAGTTTGACCGATGATTTCTTCACCTAACTATTTTTACTAATCATCCTAGTTGTCCATTTATTTAGTGTCTAAATGATGAATTAAGTTTGACCGATGATTCATATTTCGATATATATACAGTATTTACATGTTCGGTACAAACTGCAGGAAAATGATGGATTTGAAACCATATACCCTATCATTGTGTACGTTGCTCTGGCTGGAACCCCAAGAAGCAAATCCATAAAACAACTCTCTCTGGAGATTCAAGATGTTGCATTGAAAGCCACTGTTGAAGGTAATCCAGTTCAAATTATTCCATTGATTTAACTTTTACTCCTATATATTATTAAGTGAAAGAACAATGATACAAATAGTGAGAAAAAATAATGAAAATATATAGTGACTGATGTGTCTATAGTAATTAACGGTAAAAGATTAATTTTATAGGAAAAGAAAAAATTTCAACACTAAAGTGACAACAAAATAAGAGTATACATCGGTCACTATGTTTTCTCATTATATTATTTCACAATGAGTATCATTTTCGTTAAGTGAAATAGTCACTTTTTGCTGCCATATTGTCATTTTGTCTTCGATTGGTGAAAAGCTAATATCAGTTCTTTCTGATCAAACTTCTTTTAAAGGAAATCCAAAACTATCTGAAGAAGCCCACAAATTGTTAGTCTGGTGTTTGACCCAAAATACCGAGTGCTACAAGAAATGGGTAAGTATAATAATAATACTGACTACGCCAATCATCTAATTGGGACGGGGAATAACATTGATATTCCATTGGCATTGGTAAATTGGGATAAAATCATTTTCCTGAGAGCTTTTTCATTTGGTATTGCACAGGAAAATGTTTATGCCAACAACCTAGAAACGAGCATTGCTATCCTTAAAAAGCTTATCCAGCGGTGGTCAGAGCTATCTCCAAAGATGGCTTCTCAAGAAGCTCTAAGTGACACTATCAAGATTTTTAGGAAAAAGGTAAAACAAAATTCAACTTTTTTTTTCTTCAATTTCTCATGCAAATGAAGTGATTACCTTTCACGCTTTAATTCAATTTTATTTTCTTAAAAAAAACATATGTAGAATGAGGAAGCATTTAAGGTTAGAATGGAGGGTTCTCGTAAAGTACTTTACGCAGAGGCAGAAAAGTATTGCAAGGTGCTGTTGAAGAAGATGTTTTGGGACAACAATGGTTGGCCCATGTTTAAACTCTCAATTATCATTCCAATGGTTGCAGTTTTTGCCTATATCTATGGCTACAAGGAATACTCAAGAACCATTGAATTCTTGTTGAGAAATGGAGGTAGCTAGTAATAGTTACATTTGTTTTTCTGGAATGGATTGTGGATTGCACATGACATTGTTGAGGTGATTTATCCTCGCAAAAATATGTAGTAATGATTGAATGATTTGGCGTAGTCAATTAGGCATATATATATATATATATATATATATATATATAGTCCTTTAATTTTCTTTCAGAAAGGATTGTACATTGAAGTGAGTACATGACAAATTGGAATATTAATTTTATCGAGTATGAATTGTGTATTGAACAATATTAATCATAGTCTTCTGGAGTAGCCCATGGATATTTGCGATATTCACTTTTGATGAGGGCGGGATTTTCTGGTCTAGACCAAGGATACTTCATTGATGGATCCCTCGGAAATTTTCTGAAGTTCAAGAATGGTGCCCAAAGCAGCAACCTGAAACAACCACAATACCGTGGAAATAATCCTCAAGTACAAAATGAACACAAAAAACTTTAAGTAGTTCAAACGTAAATATTAGAGTCTGAACCTGACATAACTTTTAGGCTCTATGTATACAGTGTGAAATTAAAAAGCTTTTAATCCCACTGTCCTAAAATCATTGTTCTGTTTGAAATTTTATTTTTAGTACAATTAGAACTAAAAATGAAAATACAAATTAGACAATAATTTCGGAACCGAGAGAGTATGTAAAAAGTGATTGCAGAATATGAATTAATGGAGTTATTGTAACTCACCCTGGGAAGAACATGAACACAAACATGAACTGAAGGTACATCTCTACGAAACCCCTTCGGTACCATCTTACTCTAAGCCAATTCAAGACTATAGGCTGCAAAATTTTATGTCAATCCCACAAATAATAAAAAAAAAATCATTTCATCTCCATTCTCAAAATTCAGTAGTAATCCAACTTAATTTTATATTTCTTCCATTCCAAAATAATTGTTTAGTTTGGATTTTTATTTTATAGCTGAAAGTGAAAATCCAAACTGAATAATTGTTTTGGGACGAAGAGAGTACGATTTTACTCACTGGAACAACAAGAAAGTACACGAAGGCTGAAATTGCCAACTGAGCTAATGTCCATATGAGACCGTCGTCGAAATAATTCACTCCGGTCACAGCTGATGCTGGCTCGCTCACCTGGAAATTTTAAACGAACCAAAAGAAGGTTAATTCCTACTGCAATTATATACACACAAACAGGGTACGTAATTATTTTCGGGTTTTCTTTTTAATTAATTTACCGTGACCAAAAGTGTACTCCCGAGAATTGCCAGGTTGGAAATTGTTGTACCAGACTTCTTGCTGGGCTCTGAGATAACATTATCATCTTGTGCCTGCCATGAAGAATTATACAAAGGGATTCATCAGTTACAGAAACTTTGCATTTTTATCTGCTAGATGAGAATGGATACACAAAAAAAAAAAAAAAAATCCATGAAGAGAAATAATTTGTGCCTTGAGCTTTGAGAGGTGTGATGTTGTTGGCCTGGAAACCCCGCAGAATATTGAGGTGTTATTTCTGGATTGATGATGATGAAATGGAAGAAGAGGAGCTTTGGTGAGATGGGAGCTCAATGCAAAGCTCATCATCATCTTTTAGAGCCAGAAGTTGTTGTTCCCTCCCTTATCCAGTGTTCATGAATGTGTCCTACGCACAACGGCCTAAAAGTTGCATACAAAGAGACAAGGCCATGATAACTATATTTAATACAAATGGATGGTTGAAACTTGAAAGGCATTGTTAGTTTTTAGAGTATATTCCCTCTGTCCCAAAATTATTGTTCAGTTTGATATTTCATTTTTAGTACAATTTAAACTAAAAATAAAACTTAAACTGGACAATAATTATGGGACGGAGGGAGTATAATTTATGGAAAATGATACTCTTATACCCCAATTTTATTGCCATTTTGCTATTGAAATTTTTTATTTCTCTCTAAAATTATCCTTTTACCCTTAATTACTATAGACACATCAGTCACTATGTATTATCATTAATTTTTTGTCATTATCTGTTGCATCATTGCTCATAATTTATATATATTCTCTTCATCTCAAAAATATTTTCATTTTTATTACTCCTATGTTAATTTAATGTTAGAACAGATCACGGAACAAATATTGCTCATCTACTAAGGTAATTGTCTAACAATGAACCATAACTCAAGGGTTTAAAAAACATTCTTTTGCAAAAGCATATGCTCATATTAAGGAATTGATTATTGACCAACAATGAATCATTTTGTGTTCATATTTGATAGGCACAAATAATTTTTTTTAAAAAAATCCATTTTCGATTTTATTCCATGGTCAACAATCAGTGTTTTTATTACTCTCTCCGTTTCGAAATTATTGTCCAGTTTAAATTTTTAATTTTGGTACAAATTAAACTGAAAATGAAAATCTAAACTGGACAGTATTTTAATTGAGGAATGTATGTTGTTTGTTTGATGGACTATCATATCGTGTTTTATTTTGTTGTTTTATAGACATGGTCTTTTTTTAATAGGTTCACTAAATCTTGGGGATGTTTTGTAATTTGGCCAAAAAAATGTATAAAATTGGAGTCCCAAAACCCCACCCAAACTCCTTAAAACCCCTCCCTCTTCTTCCATCATCAACAAACATATAAAGCCTATGGGAGCAGAACACTAGAAACTACCATTACTGAAATGGCCGTCTCCATCCCTACCCAGCTCAAATTCAAGCCACCTAATCCTCTTCTGCTTCAAATTTTCCACCCTCATCTCACAGTTGTTACTGTCAGAACCCAAAAGTCCAACATCTGTGGGGATTATTATGTTTATAATAATAATCATAAGTTCAATTTTAGAGCCCGTTACGGAGACTCAAGTTTTAGAGTTAAGGTCTCTGATGATGGTGGTTCCGTCCCACATCAGCCTTCCTCTTCTGTAAGTTCTCAAAATGTCATTTTTTCCCCATATGAAATTATAACATTTGTACTTCTTTACATTCCTGTGCATTAAAGATTAGGTGCAAGTTTTTTGGGGGTTTAATTTATTGTTATTATTTGTTTGATGACACTTCCGTTTGTGAAAAATTAATGATATTTGCTCTGTTCATTTTGAATTTGCTTGATTAATTTGTGTGAAAAATATTGCCTTTGTATATAATCACATTTTGAGTGGGGTATTGTGGACATTACATGTTGCATGTAGGAACCTCCTGGTTTTGAATTCTAGTGTAACTTATTGTATCTGTTGCTGCTCAGCTGAAGAAGCTAATTCTTTTCCTCCCTGATTGGATTAGTGTGCTGTAGTCCTATTATAGTTCTCAGTGAATCCCATTTATTTCCGGTTCTGTTGTTTCCTATATCTTTTGATGTTTGACATGTCTTATGCTTATTGCAAAAGTTATGTGACCCAGATGAAAAAGATGTAACAGCCGTTTTGCTGTACGGGCTCATTGAAATTACTCTTTTCATCTAGAATTTGATGGATAAAATTCTTATGATCAAGATTTTGTGGTTTGATGGATGAAAATTTTCTACTGAAATGGTTGTAAATAAGATTTGTCCTCACTACTAGCACAACACCCCCACAACTGTTGGTGACTATTCTATTCCCTCTTTTGTGATCAAGGTCTTTTTTTGTTCTTTTTCTTTCTTCTTTTGTGATTAGGGTCTTTATGTGTTTAATGTAAATGACTTTGCATGCCAGGAAGTTGATGCCCTGAGAAGTAACTCATCTGCTGTTGGTGATAGTTACGTGGCATTGTTCATCCGTATGCTGGGTCTAGATAACAATCCTCTTGATAGAGAACTAGCTATAGTTACAGTCTGGAAGTATTCACTCGGGGGAAAGTCATGCGTAGACAATATTATGCAATTCGGTGGTGTTGTAAATCTCACTGTCAACCTTCTGAAGTCAGATTCTGATTCTGCTTGTGAAGCAGCTTCTGGGGTGTTGAGAATGATTTCTTCCTTTGATGAATATAGACTGTCAGTTGCAGAAAGTGGGGCCATCGAAGAAATAACCGGCTTGCTAAGACGATCCTCAATATCTTCAAATGTAATATTCTTAATTCTTTTTTAAGTGTTTCTTGAAATGCATTTGGTTGAAGTTTCAAAGTCTTTGCAGGTAAAGGAGCAAAGTCTGGGTACCTTGTGGAACCTGTCAGCAGATGAAAATCCTCAAAGGAAAATATGTAACCAAGAACTCCTGCTTCTGCTTATCAAATACTTGGAGGATGAAGATGTAAAAGTCAAGGAGACAGCTGCAGCGGTTTTGGGTAATTTAGCGTTGGCCCATTCAACGCACAAGATCATGGTGGAAGCTGGCATTATTCCGGCATTGGTGAGATTTTGTCAATGTCTGTCTAAGATAAATAAATAATAAAGAAATAAGTAACTCCAAGTGAGAATCTTTACCTCAAATGATTCGTGATGAACTGTTACGAGAGCTGTGGCTACATATTAAGAGTTGATAACTGATTGAAATGACAGAGTAAAGTTCTTTCTAATTTTTTTTATGAGTTCCTTATGTTCCAGGATCAAAATCTGGTATGAGAATGAAATTTAATTCATTTTGGTACTTCATATTTTAGTTACGGTTATGGGAAAAATATACAATAGTTTTCAACTCTCTTGGACCAATCCCTTAGAGTAGACGAGTTTAATCATGATGATTCATAGTGTAAAATTTTGATAAGATATTTTATATTTGAAAAATTTTACTAACTAGAGAAACTTGCCAGGCAAAGCTTTTGACGTCTAATGAAGAAGGCCAGAAGGTCATCAGAAAAGAGGCAAGAAGGGCATTACTAGAAATTGCAAAAGATGATTACTACAAAATTCTTTTGCTGGAAGAAGGCCTTGTCCTGGTCCCTTTGATTGGCAGTGCTGCGTATAAATCTTTCAAACCAGCTTTGTATTCGTGGCCTTCATTGCCTGATGGTTCTAAGCTGGAGCAGAATGCAAAAGGTCCTTCTAGATATGGTGCATCAGAACTACTAATTGGGCTAAATGATCAAGACCAGAACTTGGATGAGGCAAAAATGAATGCTATAGTTGGTAGAACACAGCAACAGTTTCTTGCTCGAATAGGAGCAATAGAAACTGAAGATGATGATCAATTAAACCAGCCACAATCCTCGTGTCAGAGATTCACACTCTTGCCATGGATAGATGGAGTTGCTCGGCTAGTTCTGATTCTTGGGCTTGATGATGATTCAGCGATAGCAAGAGCTGCAGACTCAATTGCTGATTCATCTATCAATGAACATATGCGTGTGTCATTCAAGGAAGCTGGAGCAATTAAGCATTTATGTCAGCTACTTCATCATCCAAATGAAACTGTGAGATTGCCTGTGATTCGGGCTTTAGAAAGACTCACTCTCAGGTAGCTACCGTTGGGTGAAGTTTGGTATTTTGTCAAACTTACTTGTCTCTATTTGCTTGGTATCTCTTTTACTGTTTCCACACATCTATTAATCTCATGGAACTACTTCATGAGTATTCAGGACTTAACTAATTTTGTCATGAAAAATTGAAGTGCTCCAACTCTTGTTTGTCAACAATATATTATCTTCTGGCTATACTACTGGACCTTTTTTTGGATATCTAATCTAATTTATTTTAGTTGTCCTGTTAGAGTCCTCCTAACTTTCTAAGAGTCCTGGTATGCCATGTAAAGTTAATTACTTAATTTCTGAATGCAGCAATAATATTTGCCAAATGGTTGGTGAAGAAGGTGCTGTTTCTCCTTTGATAGATTCATTAAAGAATTCTGACATCTCAGCAAGCTCAACAGAGATGGTAGAGCAAATTTCTGCCACATTCCATTTTGCTGCAGTTGTAGCTTTATGTAACTAATGGAAAAATTCACATCGTTTGAGATGCAGATTTTGAACATCCTTTCTCGAATTTGGGATCCTAATAAAGAAATGAAGTTAAAGGTTTGAAACATTTTCTTACCAGCATTTGAGCAATTTTATTCTCTAGTCAGTTTTTGTGGCCTTAGATGGTTCTTTTTGGCTTTCAGTTTTATGATGCGCCAGTTAATGGTTCAAGAGCAGAGTGGAATAGAAAAAGAAATTCTCGGTCACCTGGCCACTTAAAAGATATAGCTGAGTCAAAATCAGGATCCAGGTTTGTTTTTGTTCGGACATTTCAACTTTTATATAGTGCTCTTCCACTCCAGGCTTGTTATTTGATCTGCTCGAAGAGTTGAATTTTTACTGCACTATTGCCTATGCACGTCTGTGATTCTATCCTGGTTTGCCTTTGACAAATGTGTACTTTACTGCACAGCACTCAGACGATGGATGCAGGAGGTCTTGTTGATTCTGCCTTCCTTTCTCGTCTAGTTGACATTTTGAAGACACCTTCCCCCAGCTTACAGAAAAAAGCTGCTTCCATACTTGAGTATTTTACCATCAATGACATGTATGTGGAAAAGTTCATCTCAGTCGACATAGCAGCGGGCTTAGATGTTCTTTTTAATCAAAATTATTTGAGTGGTAAGTAAGATTTATCACAGGAACACATTCATACATTTATTTTATATCTACATATATGCATGTGCTTGTGTGTTGTTTGCACGATGAGTACACGGAGTTGTCCTCAGTTTCTTATAATCTTGATTCAATTTTTGTTTATAGTGGTAGATGTGGATTCAGCCATAGATGTAGAGAGGCCAGAATTTGTTGTTCTGAAAGTTGAAGAAGCTGGTAGAGCAATATCAGCAGCATGTCGGTTGCTTACAAGGCTACTTGATTTCGGGCAGTTCTGCAGTGTCATAGACATTCAGCAGTTCACATTGTTGCTCCGAAAAATTCTCAAATCGGAAATAAATGTCCACGACAAGGACTGGGTTGCTGCTTCTCTTGTCAAACTTGGGTCCATCTCAGGACCAAACCTGGACCTCGAGAATCCGGTGACGATGGACGTTACACTTTATGAAACAATCCCAAGGCTGATAGAAAAGATCAAGACTTCATTTTCACAGGAAGTTCAAGAAGCTGCAGTTCTGGAACTTAATAGAATCATTTCTGAAGGGGTGGTGGACTCGACTAGGGCAGTTGCGGCAGAGGGTGGAATTTTCACACTGGTAAAGTTGCTCGAAACGGGTAACGAAAGAGCAATAGAAGCTGGTTTGATGATACTATATAATTTGAGCATGGACACTGAAAATCATGCAGCAATCATAGCAGCAGGAGCTGTACCCATTTTGAGGAGAATTGTACTCTCACAGAAGCCGCAGTGGACACAAGCCCTTCGTTTGCTGAGAGTGTTACCCACATGAGGGTGTAAAGTGTAAAGAGGAACAAATTTCACTAATACATTTTTTCTCCATTTCTGGTCAATGAAGAGTTATACAATTCTTCATTGTGATCCTTAGGCAACAGAAATAGACCATATCTACCACCCTGGATTTTGATAGTGTTGTAAATTAAGTTGTCAATATCGCTCCTTATGAGTCATGTATAACTTCTGGAAATGTTAGAAATACAACAGCTGTAATAAGATATGTATCTTACGATACAAAATCCTTATCCATTTTCTTGTGTTATGAAATCAAATTATGGTACTACTATATTTCTATACAGGGGAGCATTTTCTCTTGGTCAATTTGTCTTTCAGCCATAATAGACTCAGGAAGCGGACAAAAGGTACATTTCTCTTTCAGATGAGATATTTATATCTATTGTCAGCCATTAAAAATCTGAAGCATTCATCCATTATATCCTCTAATGCATCTGAAAATGGTGAGCTTAAACTGCATTTCCATGAGCAAGCTTAACATTCAAGCCTCCACACTACCCAACAAGGCATCTTCATCATCATCTTCCATACCTCATCAAGCTAGTAGCAGTAGCAGTAGTCCTAACAGTGCCTCCCCAGTACAGTTGCCACCACAGAGTTTGCAAAAGCTTCAAAATCAGCAGCTAAAGCCAAAGCAGAAGAAGGACAATAATACGCCGACGATTCTAGAGATCGAAAGAGCCATTGGTGCTGGTTTCTACAAGGACAGAGACCCCAAAAGGCAAAGCAAAACCTTGCCTTCATTTTTTTTTTCTCTTTTCTTGTTTTGCATTAAGAGTAAATATCTGCAACATTTTTAATTTGGTTTTTGGTTATGGGAGATCAGTGAATCAGCAGAGGAGAATGAGGGTATATTTGAAACCATATTCTCAAGAACAATTGGGAAGACTGAAGGGCCTATAGAGAAGCAACTTCGTGAGACAGGGGAGTGGATTAATGACAAAACAGAAAGACAATTGCGCGCTGCGGGTAATTTTATTCTCCTCCTCTTCATCATCCTTGTTCATTTGTTAACAAGTATCTCCTCTCAGAGTTGTGATTATAAAAAAGAAGTATCATTTAGCACAATTGTTCATTAATTTTGACCCTTTAAGTTACTAAACACGTTGGTCGGTTTGTATAAAGTCTTCATCTTTGATATTCTTCAGTCATGATATGTTGCATGTTATGCGATTTAGTAGTCCTAATTCCTGAATTCTATTAGCAAAAAGATAAAAATAAAGTAGAAAGAAGTTAGTAATTTGGTTAGACAAATTGATTTGGACCACCATTATTAGTCTCTCCTGTCTGTGTAAGATGTGCACTCATCCAGAGCAATGAGGCGAAAGATGGTCTGCCATTCTAATTGGGTAATGGGGTAAGACTTTTGAGGCCATTTTCATTGCTTTGTGATATCCGTAATCTTTAGTAGGAAGAACCTAGAAAATGTCACATTCTCGTCCCAAAATAAAAGTCTTGTTTGTTGTTCTAAAATATAAAATAAACAAGGATCTTAGTTTGGAAATGAGCGCATTAACTTTGTAATGGTGACAAATGAAAGACAGTCCAATTTAGGGCCAAATTCAAACGTTGAGTTTCTCACTAGAAACTTTTTGACTAGTCTCTATCTATATATTGTAAACATGCAGGAAAGCCAATTCTGATGTTCATGTATCAATGGATATTGCCAATGTGGATACTTGCATTCTGCATAGCTTCTGGGATCATAAAGCTACCATTCCACAATGCTTTCCTGGATGATCTTCTGATGTGAACTTGTATATATATATAGTTGATCATTAATCATAGTCCAATTTACTACTGATACCAATTATTCGAGATTTTGAGTTACGATCATAGATATACTTTCTTTCCGTCCAAATATGATTGTCTCGGAGAGTAAAATTTTTGAGATGGGTATTTTACATTTGTGTGCTTTTTTCATCGACTAGATTTATCAATGATTAAAATGGGTGGTTCTTTTAGAAGGTGAGTGAGTAGGTCTACCTTACTATGTTTATGTTGAGACTTCACCTCCTCTTGTCAATTAAAATGTTTAGAGCCGGTAATATGGTAAGTAAGTTGAGACTATTATTGTACCGATTAAAAGGGAAAAAAAAATAGATTTAGAGGCCAAACTTTAAGAATGAATATGGACTTGGATTAACTAACACGTCCATGAATTTGAATGGTTGTTCAACCTCCCTTTTCAGACCTACCTTCCATTTTGGGCAGCGTACAATAATAATAACTTAATGTAAGTTCGTAAATTTGAATCTCACCAGCTACAAAAATAGGAACTTGTCCTATTTCTCCTCGCAGTATAAAAGGCCTCAATTCTGAAGCTTCGAGCAAAGATTTTGTTTTTATTATTTTCTAAAATAATTGACTACTAAACTTTTCTTATTATAAATACTAGTATGTGTCCCGCGCAAAGCGCGGGTTTGTCAATGTTGAAAATTTATTTTCTAAAAGAATTAATTAGATAATATAGTTATTAATATTTCTTAAAACCGTAAATTTTTTTTAATTAATTAATTTTAGATCAAAACGAGAGGTATTGATATTATTTATGAGATGTATATTTGTAAGATCTGGCCAAAAATATTACAACAAAAATTTTGAAAAGTTGTATGATAAAAATTGTCACCACTATCTAATGTTATGTTTGGATTAAAATAGAACCTTAAGGGCTAAAATAATAATAAGTTAAAAGCGATACTTGATGATCTCAATTAACGACACGTGTCGATTATATATATATATATATATATATTTTAATATATATAATGATTCAAACTTAATAATTTTTTTGAGACAAAAACTACTGTATATATAATACATGTATGTCAAAACAAATCAACAATCACAATCAGCAACTACCATTATTCCTTTTCTTCGGTGAATTTATTGATGAGATGTATTAATAATAATAAAAAAAAAGTAGGTTAGCATCGATCTAAAAACAAAAGAAAAAAGAAGAGCATATTTTATATGTGATTGAAAATTACAACTTTACAAGTTTATTAATAATTTATTAAGGAAAAAACAACACTGCAAGACACCCTAAAATTTATATATATATATATATATATATCTTACTATATTAGAAACAAAAACTTAAGAGAAAGCACCAACATTTGCCATGTGGCATTTCCACATCATATTTTTAAAATAAATTTTTATTTACGCATCAGTTTCCTAGACTTAAAAAGCAAATGTAGTTCAAATTCACCACCACCTCCTATTTTCGCCAAAAAAAAAAAAACACGGCTTCATAAAAAACGCAAATCCTCATCTCCATCTCCACGACAATCGACTCCCTAAACAATCCCTTCTCCACAATAAAAAAAATAATAATAAATTTCTCATCAATCATCAATTGAGAATATGTGGTGAAATATACTTCTTTCTTATTAGCATGTTCAATCTTTTCATTAGTGATGATCAACTACATCATAATCAGATAAAATTTCGACTTCAAAAAATATCTCTTTACCTCTCTATATAAACACAAAGGAAAAAAAATTCTCATTGATGTTGCTTTCGGCCGTTGTGGTGGTGCCATTAAAGATATTAAAATTTAAATGATTTTATATCCACAGATTATTTGTGCGACTTTTATTATTTTTTTGTTTTTCCCGTTCAAGAATAATGTTATTACTATTATTTTTATGCGTCCACCCGTTACAGCTACCATAGCCGTTGCCAGGTAATATGATGTGATTTCTTATATGGTTAGTCAGCTTAGAATTTTTGTATGATTTTAGTTCTGTTTGAATTGAATTGATCAATTAGGTTTTTGTCACAGAGTGTGGTTTTTTTAATTTTTTTTTTTTATGTTTTATTCATTTAGAGTGGTTTTCCTTTTTTTAATTATGGAGTCTCAATTTTTTTTCGTATATGGTCAGTTATGAATTGTGTTTTTTCTTTGTTTAATTGCTTTTGATTTTGTTTCATACTCCCAGTTGACCAATTATTATTATTATTATTATTGCAAATGAAGCGCGTTTTTTTTTGTGTTCGGACTTTCAAAAATATACTTTTTTGGATTTGGTTTTTGGACTTTTTTAAATTACTCATTATATAAATGGTTCAAGTCGCTTCTTCTAACTAATTTATGGGGAAGTCTTTTATGAATTTGAGGTGGAGAGGGAAGGAATGATGTTTCTACGTTTATTTGTGTTTTATACATCATTTTTACCTATAGGAAAAAAAAAATTTCTCAATTTTAATGGACTCTTTTACTTATTTCTTTTTATTTGCCATGGTGAGGTGAGTTCTTTTTTGCTATAACTTGAAACCTATGCAAATTTACATTAATTCTCATTCTCATATTTGTGATTAACCAGTTTCAACAATTAATCAGTTTCAAAATTATATTTTTGATATTTTACTAGTTATAAGCCTTTGGAAGAAACAGTTCCAACAATTAAACGTATACCCTTCGGAGGAAGCTTACTACAAAGCTATCATAAATCTCCAAAATCAAGTATTGATTTGGCACGACAAATGGAGAACATCAATAAATCATCTTACTAATATTTAAACATATTAGGATACTTTTATATTTTGTCTAACATTTACTTCAAGAGATATACTTGATCAAGTTTATTTATATTTAATAAGTAACACTTATAAAATATTTCTAAAATATTCAAACATTTCTAAAACGTACCGGGCCAAATATATTTTTTTTTTGTCAAATACAAACATTACTATGATCACACTTATAAAACATTTCTAAATTTTTCAAACATTTCTAAAATATATCGGGCCAAATACAAAATATTTTTTTTTTCAAATACAAATATTTCTAAGATCTACAGATATACTGGACCAGTGTGCGACCAGATATCACTAGTATATATATGTAGAAGAAGAAGAAGAGGAGGAAGAAAGAGTGAACGAATTTGTCTTTCCTTAAATCCTACAAATGTTTTTATCTTTGCACGGCTTGCAAGTGTGGGTTTGTGACGTTGTAACGCACTTAACACCATTGCACATCCTTTTATTCTTTGCGCTTTTTTCCCCCTCAAATGTTTCCATGTTTCATACTACTTCTTTCGTAAGCAAATTGTTTTTTTTAAAAAAAAAATTTAAATTTTTTTAATCTATATTTACAATAAGGTGTCTATCTCCAACAACAATGACTATCATTATTGTTGAAAAAGTTAATTGATCTTTGATTACAACAATTTTCGGTGTGACATATAAGAGGATTCAATAATAGTGTAGAAAATATAAAAATACGCTAATGCAATGCACTTCTAGTAGTATAGTGTAATGTTGTGTATTACTCCCTCCAGACTTTAATATAAGGTATTTTGATTTATCATAGGTTTCACTTAGTACGCATTTTAAATTGATAAAAAAACTTTAAAAATATATTTTCATAATCGTCGTGTTCTCTAGATTGTTATGAAATATTTTTAAGGTTTTTTAGTCGATTAAAAGTGCGTACTAAATGCCTTATATTAAGGAGCAGAGGAAATATTTTCTTTTAAATATTTTTTTTTGTTTGGTGAAATTTCTGACTTCGTCACTAATGTATGAACTAAATGTAACATGGTAAATTCCATCCAAAAGGTATTAATTCTCTTGAAACAAAGAAATACGACTTCTTTTTGTCATATGCAAACAAATGGAAATAAATAATGCAAAATGTTTAAATATGATTACTATTCCATCTAAACGTCACAATTAAGAAGGTTCCAAAATCCAAAGACCCACTTTTGAACTGTGCATTCCTTCTTCGTTGATCCTTCCGTCTCCCCGTGATGTGTGGCTCATGTGCTCCAACCTGTATTTTACACTAAAAATTATATATTCCCATTTTCGTTATTGTTTAAATAAATAGCTTTCCATTTTATGTCACCATTTTTTGTACCACACGTAGCAGGATAACTTTTGAACCGGATATAATATGTTTAACACTCTTACAAGTCACAAATTTTCACACAATGCAATACTACTCCCTCCGTCCTAAAATTATTGTCCAATTTGAATTTTCATTTTTAATACAAATTAAACTAAAAGTGAAATTTCAAATTGGACAATAATTTTAGGACAGAGGAAGTATTATTTATCTACTAGTAAATTTATTTTCTCCAACTTTTTTAGTACAGAAAACATAACAATCGTTTTGACACCATACTATACCTTATAACAAAGACAATAAATTCATGCACATGAACAAAATACCCTTAATACAACTTACTATAATATGTTAATTCAATTTCTAACTCTTTTCATTTATGAAATCTTGTCCATATTATTTTTTACTTCATGCACATGAACAAAATACCCTTAATACAACCTATTATAATATGTTAATTCAATTTCTAACTCTTTTTTTATGAAATCTTGTCCATATTATTTTTTACTCCCTATATTACAGAGGATCGCTTAATTTGTTTAACTAAAATAGTACAACGATAATTATATTTTTCTAGGAAAACGGGTGATTTTCTTAGGCGTAGGTTAGTTTTTTAATGTATCCTCAAAATTATCAAACTATTATTACTTCATATACGTCATCACTGATCAAACTGACAGAATAAATTTTACTGAACACAAAAAAGTATTGAAAGGTTAATTTTTAAGAAAATAGTAATTGCTTTTTTATATTTGAATTAATTAAAGAGGTTAAAAAAACCTGAAGGGGGTCCACATATTTTCACTGAACAGAAAATACTAATGATGACTCATAATACGCTGTTTTAACTGTTAAGAAGGGGGGCCGCCATTTACAACCTTTTCCATCCCAAAAGCATAAAAAAAAAAAAAAAGGAAAGAAACGAAGAAGAAAACATGGTCAGATCACACACACCACCCCTAAAACACACACTCCTACAGTAACCCCCTTCTTTCCACCCTTTCTTATTCTTTCTTTCTTTCCCTTCTGTTTGATTCTTTCTTCTTTTCTTTTCTGGGTTTTGTTTGTTTTTTTCTTTCTTCTTGGGGGTGTTCTTCCGGCAGCGACAATAATTTTACTACTTCAAAAGGGCCGATCTCCAAGGCGATAATCTGTAGAAACTTTGAGGAATTGATCGATTAAGTTATTGGGAGAAATGGGCACTCTACAGACTTGGAGGAAGGCCTACGGTGCACTCAAAGACACCACCAAAGTTGGACTCGCCCATGTCAACAGCGATTTCAAGGTTCCCCTTCTTATCTTTGTTTTTCTTCTTTTCGTGATTGTTTTTATTGATAATGAATTAGGCTTTACTGAATTGGGTTTTGTTTCGGATTCTGACTGAGGTTCTGTTTTTTGATGCGTACAGGATTTGGATGTTGCGATTGTGAAGGCTACAAATCATGTGGAGTGTCCACCCAAAGAAAGACACCTTAGAAGTGAGTCTGTTGTTTAATTTGAGCGTTTTGTTTTGTTTCTGTTTTTATGGGTTGATAGATCCGACCTTTTGAGTGAGGATTTTTGTGGGTTTTGGAGAGTTTGTGAACCATGGACGCGCGATTCTTACTGGAAATGTCTCTGTACGCTTTGTTATTTTCTATGTGGTCTAAATATGGAGTTTTGGCCTGGTTTTTTTAATTTCATTTAGGGAGGAGAAATGTGAACTCAGGATTTTGTGTTCTGAATAATTTTGGTTGGGATTTTTCTTCTCTCCGTGGATTCAATTGGGGGGTTTCGTGAATTTGCGGTGTGGAATTATGCTACAGTTTTGGTGGAAATATTTTCAAAATTCTGATGTATGGTATTTTGCCTGTTTGTTGCAGAAATTCTGCTTGCCACATCTGCCGTCCGGCCTCGGGCTGATGTTGCATACTGCATACATGTCCTCTCTAGACGATTAGCAAAGACGCACAATTGGACGGTATGAATTTGAGTTCCAGAAAACATTTATTTAGTGGTTTTACTGCACTAAATTAATGTCTGTCCAAGTTATTTATATTTCTTCAGACCGTATGAATTTGAGTTCCTGAAATCATCTATTTAGTGGTTTTACTGCACTAAATTAATGTCTATCCAAGTTATTTATATTTCTTTAGGTGAAGGTTCAATATAGTTGTTTTTGCGATGTCATTGGACTTATGTAATGATCTTGATATCTTTGATTGGTTTAATGAGTATTCGGTGTGGTTCTTGACATATTGATCTTTTCAATTTCATCATAAATGGCTACATTTCTTGCAGTTTGTTAGTCATTTGGTATAGATATTATGTAAATTATGTAACATGGATCTTCTCATTTAGCACAGGGAGCGTCAGTTTGTTAAAATTGGTTGAGTTATCTTGTTGATATTGATGAATGTTGAAACATGGACTATAAATTGTACCTCTGTTCTATATTTGTCTGGATTCCCTCACCACCTGGTGGACTGAAGAAAGCTTTTTGTTTTGATATCTTGTGATAGTATTTGATTATTCCAGTATTTATTACTACCTTTGTGACTTTTCGTCAGGCTCACTTTCCCTTTTGGATGTCCCAAATGATAGTTTCATTGCTTTGCATGAACTAAATTCAACTTGTTCATTTTGTTATATACCCTTAACCGTAACAATTAGTCTAGACTCTATCGGTAAATTTGATAGGTGTATTAGTTTGGAAAGTTTATGTCAGAGTCTAAAACACAAGAAATAAGAAATTTAGTTGTCAAACTGTGATAACCAATCTAACTAAATCTGCGTGCAATTTTTGAGTGAGTCTGAAGAATAGGGAGAAGTAGTAGCGCTAGATTGCATGCATTGTGGAAAGTCCATACTTTTTGTTGTTGTTGTCGTTGATGGTTCTGTGTGGAGAACAGTGATATGTCGAATGTAATGGTTTACATCTAATGCGTTCTTTACTTGGGGATTTTGTCTGCTTGAATGATCGTCAGCCAAATGTCACGACTTAGTATAATAAATTCCAAGAAAGAGAGCCGTGACATAATTCTATATGCTGTATTATGGAAACTTTTTCCATACCCTGTTTTGTTCAAGAGTTTTTTTGCTGGCAGTCTATTTTAAACATTGACTAGCACTTGCTGAAGGCCTTTTTCTGTTTGTAATGTCTGTAAAAGGTCGCGTTGAAGACACTAATTGTTATTCATAGAACATTGAGGGAAGGTGATCCCACTTTTAGAGAAGAACTCTTGAATTTCCAACAGAGAGGACGTGTTCTTCAAATGTCTAATTTTAAGGATGACTCCAGCCCTATTGGTATACTTTTCTTCATTGTCAAACATTTCCTTTTCGCACTTTTTTAGTTGTCGGTATGTTAAACTATCTCTTGACTGTTGATTCTGCTTATTCTGATTGTGTGATAGCTTTTCCTTCTGCTTGCTTATTCTCTTTTTAGCTTGGGATTGCTCTGGTTGGGTTCGTTGTTATGCTCTGTTTTTGGAAGAACGGCTTGAATGCTTTAGGATTCTGAAGTATGACATTGAAGCTGAGCGTCTTCCTAAGCCTGCCCAAGGGCAAGAAAAGGTTAGTGGATTGAGTCCTTGACTTGTAATGACCAAGGGGTTTTGCTACGTTTTTCTTATCGTATTTTCTGTAGTTTATTAAGGTTTTAGGAATTTTGTAGAATGTAACAAGTTTTGCTAGCTAATTGGCTTGTTTCTTCTGCTGCTGTAAGATGATAATGGAAACAATGCTACTTTTGCTGGTTCATTTGTAGGAAAGTGCGTATTGCTTAAATTTAGTCAAGGATTGCCTGTTTAGTTTATCCATCTTAGGGGAATCAATTTTTTGTTTAGCAGTCTTACTTGGCTGACTGTGTATGTGCCCTTAGTCATTGACGCAATCTCTGAGCCGTGTCTCATTTATGACATGTATAAAGCTTAATGAACTTGGTAATGTGAACAACTTTGTCCTTCCTCTCTCTCTTAAGAGGGAATTTCAGTGTGTATTACATTTTCCTCTGTTAGCTAAGTCCACTGTATGAAATTGTTTAATATGTGGAAGGTTCATGGTAACCTTTGAATATTTGGTTCTAGAGAGCGCCCCTTCCTCTTCAATGGTTGCACTGAATGTAAAGTTATTGCCTTTATATTAGTTTTATGTTCATATTTTTATCATTTTCGTTGTCTTTGTATGCAGGGCTTCTGCAGAACTCGGGATTTGGATAGTGAAGAACTTCTCGAGCAATTACCAGCTTTGCAGCAGCTACTCTATCGTCTTATTGGGTGTCGGGTACTGTGTCACTGATCTATTCTTTAGTTTATTTTACATTCACTTGTTCTTAGAAAACTACTTTTTTTTTGGTGGTTTCCTTTTTTTTTTTCTTTTTTTTTTGTGGCAATTTTCAAATGTAAGAGCTACTTAACTGTGCTCTTTGTCTCTGGGAATCTTTCAGCCTGAAGGAGCAGCTGTTCACAATTACGTGATACAATATGCTTTGGCACTGGTATGTCTTGCTTTCACCCTGTTAAGTCAAGCAATTTTTTGGCAGCTGGAAATGGAAGCACCATTGTTTTCTGAAGTGTATCTTCTTTTTTGTTTTCTTGGCTTTGTTACTTCCAGGTGCTGAAGGAGAGCTTCAAAATATATTGTGCCATAAATGATGGGATTATTAATCTTGTTGACAAGGTGAGTAGATGTTTGATTTCTTATAGATACCTTTTTTCAGTGCTTGTGTGTTATGCATCTTGAATGGCTGACCTAGAAAAGTTGTTTTGGCTTTCAGTTTTTTGAGATGCCTAGACATGAAGCCATTAAGGCCCTTGATGTGTATAAAAGAGCTGGTCAGCAGGTGATGTTTCTTAATCAAACCTGGAGTTTGTTGTATGGTTTTTACATTCTGTACTCTGTTCATGTTTGAAATGAGGTCACTAATAGGATAGGGCTCTTTTTCAGGCCACAAGCCTCTCTGACTTTTATGAAGTTTGCAAAGGGTTGGAAATGGCGAGGAATTTCCAGTTTCCTGTGCTGCGAGAGGTTAGAAGCTTTTCCTGTAACAAAGTCATAGTCATTCTTGAGTTTAGTGTTCCCTTTATTCCCTTTATAATGAATAAGAAAGCTTCTAAAGGATGATGTTATCTGTTTCCAGCCTCCGCAATCCTTTCTTGTAACCATGGAAGAATACATAAGAGAAGCGCCTAGGATGGTCTCTGTTCCAAGAGAAACTTTGGTTAGTTTGTTTTGTATTTGCTTGCGTATTTGTGTCTTCCTGTCAAGTAAACGAAAATGTGTAATAATACTACTAATAGTAAAATAAATATAATAATAATAATAATAATAATAATAATAATAATAATAATAATAATAATAATAATAATAATAATACTGGAAAGTTACTCAGCAGTGACATTTTCTCCTTTTCTTCTTATTCAGGAATATCCAGAAAGGCTTATGTTGACTTATAAACCAGAAGAAGAAGATCCTTCAGCTTTTGAAGAGCCCGCAGTTACAGTTGATGAACCCAAACCAGTGCCATCAGATGATGCTACAGTCTCAACTGCTGAGGTTGCTACCCCGCCTCAACCATCTGGAACCAACTTTGAGACGGATGATCTACTGGTGAACATTCCTTTTCATGATTTAATCATAATACTTTATAGCCTCTGCTATTTTAGTTGTCATTTGACATTGTCTTTTATGTTTTGGTTTAGGGATTAAATTCCATTTCACCAGATGCAGCAGCTATTGAGGACAGTAATGCACTGGCTTTAGCCATAGTTCCGTCTGGTTAGTACTTTCGTTGTGTTAATGGTGTGTTGTTCTGTGCTCTACATTTCCTGCCGTTTCTTTTCATGAACGACAAGACAAATAAAAGTTGTTTTAATGTAGGTGCCACGCCTTTTGACAATGGTGCTGCTCCAGCAAGGGACTTCGATCCAACAGGGTGGGAACTAGCCCTAGTGAGTACTCCAAGCAGCAACTTATCCTCCACACAGGAAAGGGAGTTGGTAAGGGTTCCCTTTACATTGAACGCCCCCGCACCCCCTCCTCCTTCTACCTTGGAATTCTATTGAAAAAATGATTAATGAATAAGTTGAAAGATTGTCGGTTGCTGGCCTTTCTTTAATCATATTTACTGAATTTTATGCTTATTGTGTAATGCTTTAGACATGGTAGCCAGCTAACTAACTGAAGAAACCATGTCGCTGTTGTCCTGTAGAGGGTTTAACTTATAAGTTCGTCCATGCATCTTCTTGTGTTAGGTGAAAATTTGCATTCGAGAAGAGATAGCTCTGCTGATTGTTAATCTTTTGGTTTGTATGCTGGTTGTGCGGAAAACTATGGTTTACTTTTTCTATTTTAACATGGCGATTCAAACGGCAGTGTCTTATTCATACATCGTTCTTGTGGCTTAGTAGCTATTCCTGCATGTTTGGTTACCAGATATAGCATATGTAACTCTTTTAAGTCGGGTGAATATCTTCTAAGATAACCGTTAACTCTTGCGAAACTTTTGGCAGGCTGGTGGATTGGATACGCTCACTCTGAATAGTTTGTATGATGATGGAGCATATAGAGCCTCCCAGCAGCCTATGTATGGAGTTCCTGCCCCGAATCCGTTTGCAGCACATGATCCGTTTGCTGTATCAAACACTGTTCCTCCTCCTCATGCAGTTCAAATGAGCGCTTTGCCTCAAGCTCAGACAAATCCTTTTGGTCCCTTCCAACCTGCATATCCACAACCGCAGCCGCCGCAACCATATATGTATAGCCAACAGAATCCCTTTGGGGATTCAGGCTTTACAGCCTTTCCTGTCAACCCTGTTGGCCACCCTCAGCCACAAGCAACCAATCCATTTGGAAGCACAGGGCTTATATAAAAAGAGATGGAGCAACATATATAGATACAGCAATGTAATTGACTCGGCTTTAGTTGATTTTTGGTACATTTGTCGAACGGAGAAGCTGTATGGGTGGGCTTTTGTGTATGTTGTCCCCATGGTAGGAAAATGATTTTGCAGTTGCTTTGCTTCCTGAATGAATTTGGGGTTGAGATGTAAAGGTAGTTTGATTGGACAATGAAGATGATACCATTAGATAGGATTCATTACACGATTAAATAATGTTTCATTAAATATGGGTTTCACTCTAAGCCAAACCTGATTTTTGGGAATGGGCTGTGCTTCACTAATTTGTAGATGCAGTTTGCTGCCCAGATAAGGTGTTATAGTCTTCTTATTGTGTCCCAATTGCGTTTATGTTAGGAATAAATTACATAAATTAATTCATTATTGGTTAAAAAAATGCCCTTACTATTAAGTAAACCACAGTTTGGTGCATAAAAGTAGACGTGATATTTTTCTTTTACATTGATTATTTTGGCTTCTTTGTGTGCTGTGCCGTGTGCGTGTGCGTGTGCGAAAGATAATTATTGAAGTTTGAGCACTTTCTGCGCATGCCCAATTATCTGCAATGTGTTCTTCCATAAAAGAATAATAATTGTTGCCAAGTATGCATATTGTTAGAAATCATATTTTTCTTCCGATTTTATTTAGAACGCGTAAAATGTAATGGAAGGAAACAATGGGTCAACTTTAAAAAGACACACACAAAACCGTGGTTTATATGTTAGTTTTTTTTACTATGTTTCGTAAGATTTGTTGACAAAATCGTGGAAGATTTTGGCGGAGACATTGTCAAATCAAAATGTACATTATGCTAATCACGAATATGAACAACCACAGAAATCAACATCACGCTGCTTTTATTTTTTGGGTTACTAAGGCTCTGCTTGTTTGATTTTTTTTTTTATGGTTTTTTTTTTATTTTATTTTATTAATAATTGTCTCATTTCAGTATACATTTTTACATTTCGAATGCACCTTTTTATATTCTCAATACAAACCTAAAAACACACACTAAAAAACAAAACAAACATACCCTAAGTTTACATTACTAGTCCTCTATCAAAAAGAGTTATCTTTCTTTTCATATGGAAACAGTATCTCGTATAGTATTTCTTTCCAGAAGGTTTTTAATGTCAAACACTCTTAAATATAAAGGGTCATCGCCGCATAGTTTATTGAGAATGTTTTTGACCTCCTCTCTTTCTGGCTTAGCTATATTTATTTCTTCTTTATAATCCACAAAGGCACAAGAAGATGGAGAAAGCTTTCAACATAAAATAAAACAGGATTTTTTTTTTAGATAGGTTGGATGGATGGATGTTTTTGCCTGTCGTATATGTTTGTTTACTTTCCCGCTCTTTTCTTTTTGTTTTAACTGGCGGTTGTTGACCTAAGCATCTCTGGAATGACATGATCAATGCTTTAGATTTGTTTGTTTCTCTTTTTGATCCAATTATTAATCAATGTGAGCAGTTTTTACAGTTGAAAAAATTGTTCTCTTCTGCATTCCCCTTGTCTTTTACTCTATGTTTTGAACTTCAAGTGGATATACCAAAAGGAGACTAAAATGTCCAAATGTCCCTTACATTTGGACCTACTTGAATTTACGTCCCTAACATTAATATTTCAATATCATAGTCCCAAACATTATGTATTCAAACTTTTTCATCCCATTTCACTGTTTCCGGCCATTGACATGCCGGAATTAGGGGTATTTTCGTCTTTTAATTTATTTTGAATTTTTATAAAAATTTAAATCATCAAAAATATTTTAAAAATCAGATTTCCTTATTTAATTATTAAAATATTATTAATTAATTAAAAATATTATTATAAAATTTCAAAATTTACATTATTTTCAAAATTAATATTTTCATTTATCATTTACCTTAGGTACAAAGTACATAGTAATTATGTCGCACTTTTTGGGCCTACTGTAACTTAAAAAATTTACCGACTTACAGTAAATAATTAAAAATTCAATTTTTTCTTTAAAAAAGAAAAATAAAAGGCAAAATTAAGATTTTTTTTACTTTGACCACTACAGTAAACCCTAAATGACAATTATGTTACACTTTTAACCTTGGGCCTACTATAACTTAAAAAATTTACCAAATTACAGCAAATAATTCAAAATTTAATTATTTAAAAAAAAAAGCAAAACCAAGACTTTTTTTTTCTTTACTTTGACCGCTACAATAAACCCTAAATGGTATTACACTTTAATTTTAACATTGGACCCACTATGACTTAAAAAATTTACCAAGTTACATTAAATATTTCAAAAATCAAATGTGAATTTTGAATTTTGAATATTGACTATTTAATGTAATTCGATAAATTTTTTAAGTTATATTGGGCACAAGTAAAAGTGCAACATAGTTATTATTTACGGTTTACTGTAATGGTCAAAGTAAAAAAAAAAAATCTTGGTCTTGTTTTTTGTTTTTTTAAAAATATTTTTTGAATTTTGAATTATTTATTGTAATTCGGTAAAGTTTTTAAGTTACAGTTGGTTCAAGGTTAAAAACACAACATAATTACCATTTAGGGTTTACTGTAGTCGGTCAAAGTAAAAAAAAAATCTTGCGTTTGATTTTCTTTTCTTTTTTAAAAACATTAAATTTTGAATTATTTACTATAACTCGGTAAATTTTTTAAGTTACATTGTGTCAAGGTTAAAAGTGTAACATAATTACCATTTAGGGTTCAATGTAGTGGCGGTCAAAGTAAAAAAATCATGGTTTTGCTTTTTCTGTTTTTTTTTTAAAATTGAATTTTGAATTATTTACTGTAATTCGGTAACTTTTTTAAGTTACAATAGGCCCAAAATTAAAAGTGCAACATACTTAACATTTATTGTGTACCCAAGGTAAATAGTAAATGATAAAAGGAATTTTGAAAATAATGATAAATCTTAAATTTTAGAATAACATTTTTTATTAATAATTAATATTTTAACAATTAAATAATAAAATCTGAATTTTAAAATATTTTTCATGATTTAAATTTTAATAGAAATTTAAATTAAATTAAAAAATGAAAATACCCCTGATTCCGGCATGTCAATGGGCGGAAAAAGTGAAATGGGACCAAAAAAGTTTGAAAACATAATGTTTGAAACTACGATATTGAAATGTTAATATTAGGGACGTAAATTCAAGTAGGCCCAAATGGAAGGGACCATTTGGACATTTTAGTCCCAAAAAGAGTAACCACACCATTAATTAATATTGATAATCGACTAAACCTTATAATTGATTCGATCACTTGACAATTCTACAGTGATTTTTTTATACTCCTCCTGTCCCGAAATGATTGTCCAGTTTGAGTTCTTATTTGTAGTACAAATTATATTAAAAGTGAAAATTCAAAATAAAACAATAATTTTGAGATAGAAAGAATACATTACTAAATGTGACCAGGATTTTGGAGGTCGGGGAGTGACCAGGATTCTGTATGGAACAATTTTAGCATGCATAATTCTTATTCAAAATGTAAAAAAGCTAATGAAAAAGAAAAATTAAAAGTATTCGAAATTGACTATAATTTTTTTTTATTTTCTAAAAAGAAAAGGCACGGTAAAAAAAACGATTTAAACTATACAGTACTTTTGTTAAACTTTCTTGATAGAGATGGATGCATTTGACGGGTTGAGTTACTTTCCTCAAACGGAAATACAATAGTCTTTTTAGGATATGCGATTGCGAGCCCTTGTTTCCCTATAGAAGAAGCAGACACAAACACAAACCATAAACCAAAGGGCGCAAATTGTAATCAATCAAAAAGTCACATCCATATCTATTACAGAATGTTATAAAGAAAATTATCCGTTTACTTCTTTCTTCCTTGGTTCTTGCTTGTTTGGACAGAGTTCTTCTGGATTTTGTGATTTTAAATCAAAGGGAAGGAACCTCACGTACGTTAGTATAGGCTATGAATAACACGGGCCCCAATTAGTTTGATTAAGAAATGCATACTAATTACTGGTATAATCGACTAAGCAAACTAACTAAGGCAGTTAGTGACAATTTCTAAGATATGTTATTGTATTATTATGTCTTTGAAAACACGCAAAATGGTAGATCAATGATTAGGATATATAACCTCCTTACTCCTAAGTACAGTGGACTGAACAAAAAATTTCAAAAGTCCAGTATGCTCTATAACTGTATTTTCGATTTGGATTGGTACTTAGTCAGTCACCAAGAGCTTGTCCGACGCTTCATCTCTCGCTATCATTTGCAAGTTAAATTGTATTTCCTCGAGTTTATCTATTTTTGGTGGGATTTCTAAAACTACAAAAAGAAAGAAAGAAAGTGCATTGCTAATTTTAAGTGAGATACAACTAGTTGCCCGACGATAAGATATATACTCTCCGGTTTTCATTATAAGATATTTTGATTTATACTAAATTTTATTTATTGTATTTTTTAGCTAAAAAAATAAAATCTTAAAATTACTTTATAATAATCAAAAGAACATATTAACAGTAAAAATTTACTTTTAAGATTGTATTTTCAATTGGGCAAATACAAGAAATGAAATTTAAGGTAAATCAAAATATTTTGTAATAAGGACCGGAGAGAGTATATCTTACAAATATTTAAGAAATATTTTGATCATTGGAGTCAAATAAAAAATATTTGAGGAACCAATTAATAAAGTTTTTTTATTCATTGTACCAATTAATAATTTAATATTGGTAGATTTGAAAAAAGAAGTGTATGGCCTTTGGGAATCATAGCAGAAACGCAATTAAGAAACATTAGTACTAAGATCCAATTAGTTTTTGTAGATTCTAAAGCTTCCAGATTAGGTGTAGGAGGAAAGTTTTTTAAAAAAAAAGCAAGCAAAAATCATAAATATTGAAATATATATGACTTCTATTTCATTTTAATAATTCAATTTATTAAACTGAAATACACAATTGTATGAAAACGAGATAGAAAAAATTACAAAGAAAACTTACA